ATAGCGAACGCGTAGAAACGACCGAATTATAACAGTACATTTTCGTTCAATGAGCACGATGTATTGCATTTTACTACCGCTAACGAGCGCTAATTATAATGAACAAGTGTAGCGTCCGAATGAGGAGCAGGACAACACCAGGCCGAGTCTGTCACTTACCTTCTTCCGAAGTATTTTGCGATTTATCCAAGGCTTCCATTTTCGCCTTAGCCACTGACTCTTCGAATTCGGCATAAGCGTCAAATACCTGGGTGAAGTCACGTACGGTCATCACTGTATTGAGGGCTTCCGCATACACGTCCCTGGCGCGCAGAAGGTTACCGCAACGAATGTGGTAGTCAGCCAGGGAGTTCCACAACAAACCGACCTATGGGCAAGGAAAAATGTGATCAAACTGTTACATTTACTCACCTGGTCAGTATATTTACTTATCCCTTGTCGAATGATTGGGTCAGGTTTAAGCGCAGCCACCTTCGACGGGTTTTTCACCAACAAACTGCATAACTGTTGCCAAAGTTGGAACTTCGAACGGCCTTGACGGCTGACAAAGTTGTCATCGTTGATGATATCAGCCAGAACTAAGGCGGCCTCATTTGCGTTTCCAATACCAACCAGGAATTCGACAAAACGCTCCATGTCATCCGGGGCGAATTTGACGTAGCGGCGATAAATGCGCAAACACGTCTCACCTATCCCACTGCCGTGCTTGTCCGCAAACCGTAGATAAATGCCCCAAATACGGTCATGTTGTGTGACTGGCAGGGCTTTGAGGGCCCGGTCAAAAGTGCGGCGGGTGCGAGTGATGAAACCTTGCGACATCAGGAAAAGGAGATAGTCGGTCCAAATACGTGGCATCTGTGTGGAAAATAACTAAACAACGAAAAAGGAATAACCTTGTGCATAGTAACCAGAGCACGCTCGTGAGCATTATTGGTCTCTTCGTGCAAAATGCTACCAGGACACAAACGACGGGCATGTATGCGTCGTAATCGCAGATAACGATACCATAGTTTGTAGCTGTCGGCAATGCATGAGCCAGCAAACCCAGTCTTACCTCCCAGGAAGCTGTTTTAACGCACGTTCATAAAGCATATACAAAACTTTTGGAGGTGATTTCGATTTCATCTCAATATATCGCAGCCAAGATTTGATGTTGTGAGGATTGCGCAGTAAATCCTCCTCATATGGACGATCCTGTTCTTCCTGAACAAGAATGAAACTACGAAGAAATTGAACTTACAATCACGACGTATTCATCCTCCATTGCGATTTAGTGGGCTGCAGAGAGGAAATGTAAGACGGTTAGGAGTTGCAACGAAATGGACCTCCGGGGCGATGGTGAGTAAAGCAAGTGAGACCTACTCACCAAGTGTAATGGGTTTTCATTCACTCCTAAGCTGTCTACCTTAAAAACTTGTACGGATGTATTCTCAAACATATTACTGACCCATGCTGATAATTGAAAGAAATGGACGAAAAGGTGAGATTTCGCTGCTCAGGTGGCATAGTCGATAGTTCGTTCGCTGAGCAAGGTAAGCTTGTAACCAACTTGCCTAGCTCAGCGGACGAACCAACGACAGTTAGGTGAAAATTCGGTGCAGCTGCATACCATGTATGTAGTGCCGAAGTGTGCAGTAAGAGACAGATCAGTAAGCCAAACGGAATAACGTAACCGTAATTTCTCAAACTACAGGCGCTAGCTTGGGGCTTTGCTGACCACAGATTGATGTTTGCGTGTTCTTTTCGGTTCCACGCGTTGACATGAACACCAAACCAGGCAGTCATAGAGAAAAACACAAATAACTGAAGATACTTATTGTCCCCCTGTGCTTGAACATATTGGTCATTCAGCAGAAAGTTCAAAACCACTTCAAACTCAAGAGATACCTCAACAGTGTGTGACTCGTGTTCAGAAGCAATAAAAAAAGCAAACGCCCAACTGGTCGATTGCCTGAGGGACCGTGACAAGAACGCCGTTCAAAACCACTTCAAACTCAAGAGATACTTCAACAGTGTGTGACTAGTGTTCAGAAGCAATAAAAAAGCAAACGCCCAACTGGTCGATCGCCTGAGGGACCGTGACAAGAACACTGTGACTAAATTCCACGCACCTTATTGCAGTTAGGGGTATCTGTCTATAACTTGAACAATTCAAAATAACTGGCGTCTTTATGACAGATACTTCACGACCTGGAATGGACGTCTCATGTTCTTGCGATGAAACGGAACAGAAAACCGCCTTTTTTTTCGTTGCAGCGAGTGCTCCCATTCCTTGGATGCAATCATGAACCAACCACTAAAATTCGACACAAAGAGCTGAACCAGCACACTGTAAATCTCTCTAGGTCAGTTTAATCCCGTGAAAATCGAATCCATACTTTGTGCCTATGCACAGAAATCTATTCAGAGGACGCTGGTTGCTCTGTTCCATGGTGTCCTCAATTACAGTTAGACAGTCAGCACATCAGTTATGAAACAAGTGAGCCCATTACCTGGAAGAAGACTATTTGGCTTCCTTTGAGATTGTTTGCAGCTAAGGGGTAGGTGCCTATGGTTACTGAGTGTCCGGCATTCTGAGGTACATACATCTCCAAGCTCTCAATCAGACAATCTGGAGAGGAAGTCAGTGGCACGAAAGTCATTGACACCGACCAGCTGCCATCTCTTCCAGTGTCCCCAGCCAAGCTCAGGAAAGTCATGGGAGACGCCATCCTGACAGGCGTACTGTACCGAAAATACTCCAACTCCTCGTGTTCTCTTTCATACCTTTTTGCCAAATCGTACGTTGTCCATCTCGTGCTTTCTGCCATCCTGAAGGAGGCATGAAGAACGATATTTGTCTCGGTAGACGGTGTTTCGGCATCCGTAGCACGTGACCAAGCCACCGCAGTTGATGGTGCTGGATTTTTTCGCGACTAAAGTGCCTGATGCACAACCAAATACTTGTTTTCTAATCACCTCGTTACCAATCCGTTGACACCATCCAAAACTGGGAGCGCTTCTGAAGCATCGGTGGTCAAAAGCCTGAAGACGTCTCACATCATCTGACCGCAGATGCCACGTCTCGCACCCTTACAATACAATCCTTACTGTAGCCTGTACAAGCGACCCTTAAGACCCGGTAATATACCCTGCCACGTCTCGCACCCTTACAATACAATCCTTACTGTAGCCTGTACAAGCGACCCTTAAGACCCGGTAATGTACCCTTTTGAAGCCACAAGTGACGCAAATTAGCGAATGTCATTTGAGCCTTTGAAATTCTCGCGCTGAATTCCTCAGATACAATTCTGTCAGAGTTAATACAACTACCGAGATGTGTGAAATTCTCCACAACTTGCAGCGATTCTCTTTGAATTACAAGGTGTTCAAAAATGCACTTTCTGAATCACAACTTCACACTTTGACGGTGCAAAGCGCTTGCCGGACAGTTCACGAACTTTTCCAGCATGTTTGCATCCTCAATTTTTTCGGCCTTTTGGGTCCACCAAGCTCCACGATATGCACATATACTCCGTTTCATTTGGCGTCGGGTGATATATCGGGTAAAACTGTGTTTGAATCCAGGAGAAACCTGTCACCGCGCTCCTAGCAAGGGTATGGTCCTATCAGATATTCAATATTTGGATGAGGTTGGCTGGGTTGCACCGCAAACAGGAGTTCCGGGTTTATGTAGCGCCTTGGACATCTTTTCCGACGACCATCCACATTTGACATCAGAATCGAGGAGCCAGTTCCCATAGGTTCATTTCATTTTTGGGTTCGTTAGCTTCTCTATGGTTAAGCGACGTTTGTGCGTTTGGTATAGGACTGAGAAGTGCAATGAAAAGAAGCAGCGTACAAGTGCATGGTCGATGTCTATGATGGTATTCCAGAAAGAGTGACAGGCAAAGATCGACCAACAACTGACCGCGATGTTGTTCATTAGGATTCAGGGCTGGTTTGCTGGTGGGTACCACATTGTCAGGCAATCTCCGCTATTTCGGAAATCGGTACTCTAGTGACTTTCTGTGATCGCCACACATCTGAATCAGAAAACCTCCGCTGCGCGTGCGTATCGTGTCCTAACCGTTTTGGCGGATTCAAGGCTAAAATCAGTTGGTGTAAGCGGATATAATAAACAGGGTGCGATGGGCCTCACTTCCTCGAGATTCTCTCACAGGCGTTGCCAAACGGACCGCCCATAGGCAACTGTTGACAGGTATCCAATCAAGTAGAGACGATTCCATTCAATATGAAACCCACATCGGCATACATCTAAAGGCAGCGGCTCTTGCATTGCCAGAGGTGAGCAGTCGGAACCTGGATAAGAGCATGGGGACAGTCAGTTCTATCACAGTTGTGTATGCTGCATACATGAATGCAGGGGGAATACAGCGCCGACACGAAGAGACTGGACCTTATCGTGGTGTGGCGGTTTGTGTACCTCGGCGATCCATTGAGCTATACTGGGGGGTGTCCGCGCGACACTCACAGAGTCTCTCATACCAGGTTGGTCAATGGTTAGAGGTCAGACGAACACAGTCTCCTGGTCCTCCAGGTTGGGGGTTGGAACATGTATGGCGACTTGTTCCGTAGAAAAGGTAATGCATTTGCATTTCCCCGCCAAACACCGCTGCCTTGCGGTTAGGCTTTTGAGCCAAATGCTTTGGTTGAGGACCCTAATCGTCCTCCTGTCTAGGTGTGGGCGCCCTGGCAGTATCCCAGCCCTCGTACAACCATGACCTACACAACTAACAATATTCTCATGCCACATCGGGGAATACAGCGTACGAGCAGGAGCCACACGACGTCCTGATCGCTTCGGTGTGCGAAAATTGAAGGTGGCCAAGTAGATAGGCTTGGGGTTTAAAGAAACTTCGAATCTTCACGGTTGTAATTGAAATCGGACGTGCTGCTGAGTGTGATGCGCGGCGAGAACGGTTAGTCTTAGTACTGAGACCTCCGGTGAGAGTATTTAAATTGTGGTCGGACGGACTGTAAGAGGAAAAACGTGAATGTATGAGAAGAGAGACATCAGCAGTAGCATGTTTTCACTTACCTGACCCGATGTATGCAGTAATTAAGGCGACCCGGCTGGTGAAACGACGCGACGGCCGATGGTGCTTGGGAGCACCGTTAGTTGAATGTTTCATGGTTATACGTGGGCTAGGGTAGTACCAGGACGGCCACACCTAGAAAGGACGATTATGGTCCTCGACCAAAATCGTTCAGCTATAGCACCCCTTCGGTACCTAACAGCCATGCCACCAAAATGAAGCATGAGGGCAAGGATAATGCCAGGTCACCCAAGCATATGCAGGGGAAGTTGAGAGACAGAAGTCAAGTTCGAACCACGAACCCTTCGGTCAGTAAATTCACGCTCTAACCACCGAACCATCTTATCAGATGCTAACCAGTGACTAACCTCGTTTGAGGGACTCTGCGAGTGTCGCACGGACACCACCCAATACAGCTTAATGGGTCGCGGAGGAATACAAACCACCACACTACGGTGAGCTCCAGTCTCTTCATGACGGCTGTTGCGGGGTGTCAATGTGACATCAAGGTATCCTTACTTGTAGGTTTCAGGAGTGATGTGGCCGCTAAGTTCGCCTATCTCGGCAGCAGCAAACGTTCCAGTGCACGGGATGAAAAAAATCAATCTGCAAACTCGGCAGATCAGGGCAGCGTCTTCTAACCTCCTATATTTGTGGCACCTTGACGTCAGCTTGACCGTCAAGGGTAGAGTGTACAATCTCGCGGTCAGGTCTACCCCACTGTATGGAGAGGATACTTGGCTGCTCCGCGTGGAAGAACTTTGAAGGCTCTCTATACTTGACCAGATGCCTCCGGGGGGTTGCGCGGTCTGGTAATACCGAGTCCAGTCACCCTCCATTGATCAGATGGTCACACTTCATAGTTTACACTGGTGAGGCTATGTACTTCGTAGACCAGCGGACCGGTTGCCCTGTGAAACCCTCGTTGCACGGCCTTGTAGCGAGTGGAGACTGCCCAGACGCGGTCCATCTATGGTTTGACAACAAAACATGGAGGCCTTACAACTTAACTTAGTCGCGTTTGTACCTGCGATTTGTCAGGACGGGGACCACGGGGTGAGAAAAATCAGCGGTTAGCGGCTCTGGCAGATATGGTTATGTCACACGATCAATGGTGGTCTTGCACCAAAGCTATCGTCTTCCGTGAGTACGAGTTTATTCATGCCATGCGGGACAAGCAGAGCGATTCGACGCCAATTTATTTAGCCGTCGCACTCGATAT